CCATCAGAGGAGGAATAAAAAGAGAATGACATTTTTTAATCTTCTAATGCATATTAGGTGTAATTTCATTTGTTGCCCTTCAACTTATCGCTTACATATATACTTTATTCTTTCCCTATTATGATTTATCACTTAAAAATTACTAAAAACATATTAGAATCATATTAATATGAATCTCTCATGTCAAAGCTGAACGAAATCAAACTAAGATTCTGACTTGCTCTTATTATGGTAACAAAGAAGAGAAAAGAAAATTATTGGTTCTTTTAGGGGGAAAAAACAACGAATCCACCGGTTGACAACTTGAACGGAGAATTGCGAGCATGTCAGGTGTGTGAAGTACACTAACTAAAAATTAAAGCGCATTTGATCTTATTTCTAGAATATGAGTTGGATCCACGGTATATACTTTATCAGTTGTGCAATTAAAATAAATTAGGCAGATAAATTTATAAAGAGAGAACTTGGATTGCTTGTAAATTAAATGGAATTTTGATTGCTTGAAATGTAAAGGGAATTGATTACTTGTATTGAAATGAAACTATGATTACAAGAAATGTAAATGAACAATGCTTAGAAAAAATAAAGACAATATTTTGAAAATTAAATTGATTAACTCGTCGGAGAGTTTGGTTTGTTTAGTTAAATTCATTGGAGAATTTGGTTGGGGTTCTACGTTATTCCGTTACTCTTTTTATAGGTTCCATAGATAGTTACCAGAAGGATCCACCAACACAAGTCCACATCATTAGCTCCTTTGATCTCCAACCTTTTGTAAGTGAACAACCGCTTGAGGACTGCCATGCTTTGCTCAATTACAGCATGTCTTCTTTATCTTTTTCTTTTTAATTAATTAATTATTTACATAAAACAATATTAATTGTGCCCCAACAAATCCATTAGCCCAAATCCAAAATATGGAGTCCAAGTTCCAAAAATCACAAAATGGATTCCATAAAAACTTTTTTTTTTCAATAACGGTACATCTTTAATCTTTTAAAGAACTCAGAGGAATTAATCTATATCTATACTATATATAAAAGTGGGAATGAAGGGAGATAATGAGATTGCTGATATTGTCCTTGTAAAATTTAAGATATCCTAAAATAACATTAGTTTTAACCAATTAAAAAATTTTAACCTAAGAATATATATAATATTTCTATAATTTGATTGGACATTTTTTTGACTCTTTTAATAGATAAATAAATATAGATAATTAAGCATTTCAAAACTTTAAATTTTTACTATTATTATCTTATTGTGTCTAATTATATTTTCATATTATATGTAAATAATTTAATAATTTTTAATAATATTATTGTATAAAATTTGATAATTTAGCTTCAACATATTATTTTAATAATATATCATAAATAAGGCATTTTGATAAATTTTACATTTTTTTTAATTTATTTTTAAATAAATATATCTAGATAATTCAGATTTGATTTTAAAAAGAGGTATGATTATATTTTTTTTTAAATTAAAAATGCACTCTAAAATTTGATTAGCCAAAAAATTAGATAAAAAAAAGTATTATTTTTAAACATTTTCGAATTTAATTATTTTATTAATTTAGTAGTTATAATTCAAATCCTATTTCTATTAAAGAATAAAATTTTATTAATAATTTTTTAAATGCTTTCATGATTTTGATTGGCTAAAAAATTTAAAATAAAAATAAAAATTTATTATCGTATTTCTAAATATTTTAATTTGATTTATTAGAGTTTTTTATTCTATTATTACGTATATTTATTTACTATAAGAGATTACAGTGAAGTTATAACAAATATGCTACATTAATTATAAACCGTATAATAGAAGCTATTGATGGATTTTTATAAATCAATTGGTTTTTTTCTTAAAAAAGAAAATGAAAGCAATTAACGTATAATAAAAATTGTTGAATCGGTGTGTTGAACATAGGAATCAAAAAAATATTACTGTATTATATTTAAGTGTTAATATAAATTTAACCACTCAATTAAATAATTAAATAAGAATTTATACTTTAATATTATACAAATAAAAAACTAAATGAGTATGAAGAATAAACATATAACGAGCATAGTCAACGTGCAATGTATGTCATAAAGAAAATTAGTTATATATAAATGTGGGAATAGGTAGAGAGATAAAGGGATTTTTGATGGCGCCTTTATTAAAATTTGAATATTCTAAAATCACCTTTAGTCATACCCAATTAGAAAATTATATTTTATTAGTTGATTGGATAAAATAATCGATACATAGAGATAATTAAACATTTCAGAATTTTAAGTTTTATTTTTTTTTCAATTTATTTTTTAATAAATATATATGATAATAAGACATTTGAAAATTTTTATATTTTATTTTTAAATTTATTTTTAAAAACTTGATTACATTTTTATTATAAGTTAAAATATTTTATTTAGGAGAATTATATTTTATAATTTTTTTCTTTGTGTTTGTATAATTTGATTGAATATATTTTTAAAAAGATAAATTTTCAAATAGAATACACACAATGTCTTTTAAAATTTTTGAATTATTACTTTTTAAAAGTTATTTTTAAAAAAATAAACATGTGTGCGTGGGATAACAAACTATTAAAAATTTTTATTTTAAAAATATTTGTAATATTATATTGTTATATTTATATATCTATATATATTGAAACGTATTTATTAGATGTTATTATAGAATTGTACGTATAGAGTTAGATTGAATTTTAGATAAATAACGTATAAATTAAACTAAAATGTGTATAAATATGTGTATACACACATCGTTGATTTATTAATTAACTGTTATACTCACATTAATCTTATAGCAAATTTTATTTTAACATTATAAAATAATATAAGACAAAAATTATAATCAATATTTAATATTAAAAATAAAAATGAGTATAAATAACAAGTAAAAGCAAGTAATGACGTAAAAAGCATACAATAACGAGCGAAATTAACGTGCAATATACATGATGAAAAGACTAGCAGAAATAAAAATAGTTGTAAGAATAATTCATAAGGGATATTAATGATACTTTAATAGAAATTAAACTTATTTATTATAAGGGTAAAATATAACTGAGTCTTTAAATTATGTTCGAATTAATACTTTAGTCTCTTTACATGTAAGAAATAATTATAACGTACCTGATTTATGCTTTAGTCCATTGTGAGGTCGTCATTCTATCTAAAAAATGAGCTCTTTAACATTAATTAGACACACTTTTTAGATAAAATATGGTCATTTTTTAGACAGAAAGAACTCATTTTTTGGACGGAATAATCTAATAGTGAGATAAAATATAAGTTAAGGATATCATAATTATTTCTCAACTTAAGTATTAATTTAATAATAATAATTTAGAGATTCACTTATACTTTACCCTTATTATAATTTGTTTGGGCAAATAGCAAAACCCAATAAATTTGGTCTTGTATGGTTGAACTATTTAATCTTAACCGTAAATAATGTACAATTGATATAACAATTCAATTATCTCATATATAGAATTCTCAAAGCTTGAAAGTTGCAATATCACTTCGTAATGCAAGAGGTCAATTATTTAAAATTTGACCGTTGATCCACCTAATAATTTTCAATTTACCAAAATAAAAAAAGGGCAGTATCATATTGAAATTGGGACATTATTCTAACAATAGCGTACACAATGGCTAAAAGAACCAAAAACCAGAACTAAAGCTCCAATTTTAGAGGAATAAACAATCATCTGCTACAGACATCAGTACAAATTTATTTGTATAAGTTATACCGTATATAGTATATTATATATATAATATATATTATATATATATATATATATATCCAACAAATTTATTAATGAATATATCCAACAAATTTATTAATGATAATTGAATATATAAATAGAGGTATATGAGTGTCTTTCATTGAAAAAAAACAAAAGAGTAATAATAAATAATCATTTTTTATTAAGTGACAATTAACTATTACCCGAATGTATGCAGGGTTTCAATCAGTCCACGAAGCATGAATTATGCAACATTTCCCGCATCTGCACAACACATTTTCCATCTCCAACGAACAATAACAAATTTATCTATCCCTTCTTTCAATTTTTGTTATCTCGAACCTTAATTCTCCATAGTTGAACGACACCTTCGATGTATAATACAATAGCGTTTTAAATAGAAACGTAATTTAGTAATTTCTAACTTTTAATCAACTAACAATCCCTAATTAGGTTTGACAATTAACATTCATTTTCATGTCAACAAGACACCGAATTCCAACAAAAATTCCAATACGTTTATACCAATTCCAACAAAAATTATTTTTTCGACACTAAATTCATAATTAAGCCTATAAGTAAATATTATCCGAATGATTGTAGTTAAGTGAAATCATGGGTTGATTTTTGAATAACTAATCAATCTCCCAAGCCATTTACTTATAATACAATGTTAGAAAATAAAAATAAAAATCCTTTAACAGTAAAATTTTGACAGCTGAAGAGTAAGAGTCAACACAAAAGATAATAAATGGAAAAAGAAAAATATAGAAAAAGTTGTAAACAAATTAATAATGATAGAATAATCCATAGCATAATTAAATAAATAACAAAACCAAATGTCCCCTTATAAGCAATAATATGATAGAATGCAATTAAGTTCTTCTCCAAAAACATACTATATATGTGCATGTGTATATGAGTTAGAGCATTATATATATTAGCTGTTGCCAGCAAGCTCAAATCTGCATTTATAGTAATACAAAGACTATAATTCTCACATATCACATAATTGAGACTAACACATTTCAACTAACAAATACAAAGACTAAATAACTTCAACATTGGAATCACCTTTAACATCTTTATCAATGTAATTAGGCAACTGACATCAAAGCAACAAATTAAGTGTAGAAAAAAAAAAAAAAAAAAAAATAGAACTTTAATTGAATTAAAAAAAAAAAAAAAAATAGAACTTTAATTGAATTACCTTCCTCAGCAATATATATCATAATCAAATCACCTCTTTTAATTAGGGTTTGAGTTCAAATTACAATATCTAGAAGGAAGTAAAAGAAGGCCAATAACCAAACTTCTAAATGATATGGTGAAACAAAATGTATATATCTAAAAGCAAAATAAGAAGATGAAACCTGGAGACTCTCTCTCTCTCTCTCTCTCTCTCTCTTTATATATATTTATATATATATTGTAATACATAGATAAACATATTGAAGCTGAACTAATTAATGAAGCATTTTCCATAATTTAAGAGATTCCCACTCCAAGAAAATCTATAAAGGGAACATCTTTTCGCTTGATTGATTCATCTCTTTGCTCTTCTTGTTCAGAGGTCATTGGCGATTTTCGCAATGTATCTGAGTCACTCACTAACTGGGGTTTGATTTTGCTTCCATAACTTAGTAATGATAAAGGAATATTACTAGGGACAAGAACCGTTTTAGAATTAGAGATCTCATAAGATCCAAATCTTCTTTGGTGGTGACAATTGATGGATTCGTTAAAGCCATTTGAACCTTCTTGAGTATAAGAAGAACTTGATGAATTTTTATAATCCATTCTTTTTCCATCGAAGAAATCGAAACTCATAACTGAGTCATTTGTGATAGTTGAAGCACTAATAGTCCAAGATGGTGATGAAGTTGAGGGAATAAGTAATTTACTGTTACTTTTGCTTTGAAACCCTAATTTAGAGTGAAAATCATTGCCAGGAATTTGAGGGTTAAAGAACTTCTCAAAATTACTATTCTTGGTAGACTCAGTTGAACGAAATTGAAGACTTCTCTTACCATAAACTAAAGACAAGCTTTGACGCTTTCTTCTTGCCATAACAACATGGAAATGATTCTTCACAGCGTTATCTGTTCTTCCAGGAAATAGTCTAGCAATAGAAGCCCATCTATTTCCTTGAATCTGATGAGCTTTGAGAAGCTTTTCCTCTTCTTCTTCTGTAAAAGGCTTTTTGTTGATGTTAGGATCAAGTTGGTTGTACCATCTTAATCTGCAGCTTTTCCCTACAAATGAAGAAAAGAGAAAAGAAACGAAATACCCATTTCTTAAAACATGAGCAATATTTGATTACTAATTATTAATTAACTAATTAGTTAATAAATTACCTGATCTTCCTTGTAGATGCTCTGCAATGAAATTCCAGTTCTGAGGACCAAATTGATCGACAAGTTGCCGGAGTTTGTCATCCTCAGCTGGTCTCCAGTGACCTCTATGGCAACTCTTACCGCTATCGCTGCTGCTAATACTATTCTCTCTACCATTTTCCATCACTCTTTTCACCTATAAATTAACCAAACTGCAAAATCATAAGTTAAGGTTTTATGAAGAGCAGAAGAAGTAAGAAGCCATTAATTAAGCATCAGAGAGAAGGAAAGACGATTTGGATTTGGTTTGGTTTTAGGGTTATGGATGAAAAGTCACCCTTTATTACATTTATTACAAAGATAGCATATATACATGTATAATTACTGATCTTTAGACTACCTACTTGGTGTATATAGCTACTAATTGCCCACTAATTTTAATTAATTATTAATTCACTTTTCTCTCTTTTTTTTTTATTCTCATTCCAACAAAACTAATATTATTTTTTATTTAATAAATAGTGCTAGTATTATCAATCAAGAAAATAATTAACATTTTATTAAAAAAAAGTAGCTTTTTTAATGCAAGTTGGCAACGCAGGCTGGGCACATGGGAATAATCCTCTGATTCGATCGCCACTAAATGTACTTGCAGGGACCGGCGAAGAGTTTTAATTATGACTAAATCCCGAGTCGGAGGTGATCCATGGTAATAGATCTAGATACCGGTAATTTACACTAAAAAAAATGTTATTTTTTATACACAATAAGGCATAGCCTGATGAGTGTATATATAATCTAACAAAAAATCTAAATTCGAATCTGCTTTCTCAATACTAAAAAAATCGTTACTCTTTATTATTATTATTATAATTAACTTTTTTTTATAATATTATTCGCACAAATTGTCATTATTCGATTTACTGAGAGTATCTAATCTCTTTTTTATTGTTATGACTGCAAGACTATGTTGAAACTAAAAAAAATTAATAAAAGTAAAAAAATATATATATGTTTTTGAATATAATCTCAAAAATCAAACTCTGAAAACAATATAGACGATAAAACTGAACTAAACCTCAAGGTTGTAATAAATCAAACCTTACTATGCTACTAAACTATTAAAATATTTCTGTCAATTAAAATGAGGTGTCTATTTTTAGTTGTATGAATGACTTTTATTCTATTTGAAGAATTTAACATATCCCATAAAAGAAATATCATTGATTATAATATTGCAAATTTAGAAATATTTCTAACTTTTAGTAGAGAGAGATATCATTTGTTCTTAATTATATATAAAAAAAAAAAAGGGAGTTGGTGAAATAATTTGCTGTCAAAATTAGTTTGTTTGAGATAAAGTTTCAACTTTTGTTTAAAAGGTAAGTCATTAAGCATCTTTGTCTTGTAGCCATATGGAGACCTAAGAGAGGTAACAACTTCCATTTGAATGCCTATATATATATACCAAGAAAATCTCATTAATTAGTAATAGCAAGTCCTTGATTGCAATTAAATTTGTAATTAGAATCTTGAAAATGAGATTTCAATTCAGCTAATGAGATTCTCTTACAAAGTAATTAAGGATAAATATTTAATTGGGTGGTTAATTTGATTTGAAATTAATTTTTGGATCAATTTATCAAATATTGTCTCATTTTTTATAAAAAGAATAAAATATTAAGATTTATACTCTTAAAATAATAAAATAATTTAAACAATAAAAAATAATAAAAAAAGAACTTAAAGATGTGACATTTGAGAACAATTCATTTTTATTCTTGTTTTTTCTTTCCATCTATTTTCAACAACATGATTGATTTGTTTTTTCTATTCTTAAATTAATTGCTAAAAATGTGAAAGTTGAAAAAAAAAATAACTTTTATCTTGTGTGTGTATATAACCAATACTAATATATATATATATGTATATATATATATAAAGCATATTAACACATGATAAATTCATTCGATAGAAAGTAAAGATACATGAAACTAACATAAAAAAATATAAAAACATAAAAAATAACCTTAAAACCCAATAATAATAACAATTTACAAAACCTCTAGCGCAATATAAATAACATATTAATACACTTATATTATAATACACATATTAACATATAATACACATATATTTAGTTTTAATGAATACGAGGAATCATTCTATTAGTTGTTCATAAAAAGAATAACGTAGTAGATATAATCTATCAAGAATTTATCTTCATCTACAACTCGTCTCTGCCATATTGTAGATGCATTCAAGTTATTATTGACAGAGTGATTTCTTAACTAACAAAGGGTTTTCATGAAACAGACTAATTTTTTTTTAGTGTAGGTAATAGTGATTTACCGGTATGTGAATAGTACCATCGGTCCGGGACTTGGTATTATTTGAGTCCGGAAAAATTGTTATGCATATTTAATATTTTATTTACTATTTTTGGAGCATGTTTGCATGATTTAGGCGGGTGGAAAATATTTCATGAAATATTTTATTTACTATTTTTGGAGCATGTTTGCATGATTTAGGCGGGTAGAAAATATTTCATGAATATTATTGGAGAGTTTATGTATTAAAGGAATATTATTTCTAGTGTGGTATATTAAGAAATAAATTATGAATTCTTGTAGTGGAGTTAATTTAATTAACTGGTAGAGTTAAATAATAAGTAGAAGAGAATTATTTGAGGAATATTTAGAGCCATTGTGTGACATCCCAGGTTAGGGGCACAACACCTTAGGCGAATCCCACATCGGCTACGCACAAGGTGGAAGTCCTATACATAAAGGGTGGCAACCTTGAACTAGTGTGACGCATTTTGGGCTGGCAGACCATTTCCATCTTCTTCCTTTTCGTTTTCAATTTTTTTCATCATCTTCCAACATTTTACCACCAGCTTACCCTAATAAACCCATAGAATAAGAACTAATCTTAAGAAAAGTCCCGACATTAGGATAGCAGATCTGCACTCCCATACAGTTTGGTACTTCCGGCTACAGGCCGTTTGAGTGGGATATGATTTATATATGGGCCATAGCAGCCAAGCATACAGGTTTCATCCCCAGTTTTCATACAGTTTTTTCTATCACTTCGGTTTCACTATTAACCTTATGGAGCCATACAGATTTTCTTGACTTAACATTGCATGAATCATACAGTATTTATAAACAGTAAGAAAGATTAATCAAGGTATCATGAAAGTATTCATGATGTGTGTGCTTATATGTTGCCATATGTGTTTTACATGGTTCTTTCTATACATGATGTGGCTTAATTGTTCTTTTCTATGTTGAAGATATCCACTGAGCTTTATTTGCTCAGCGAGTTACCTATTTAACTTGCAGGTTTGAGACTGGACGTAGAGAGTACGGCTTACAACTGCCTGCAGTTCATCTGTAGAAGACTCAGTCTTTCGGGTAGCTACTCATTTTGGGCCTGTAGAGTTGAGATTTGGTGATTAAAAGAAAGAGAAAGTGAAGTTACCATTGGAGGCAAGTAAAGTTGTGGTTTTTGAGTTTTGAAAAGAGATAACATAGTGGAGGATCTCAAGATGAGTCTTGGGGAGTGGATGTAGGCTAGTTAGTGCCGAACCACTATAAATCTCTGAGTTTATCTTTTTTATTTTCTGAAATTCTGCTTGATTATGTTCTATTTACACAACTGTTAATCTGTTCTAAAATGCAAAATGGTTAATGAGTTTCTGATTCTAAACGTGAATAAGCTTTATCTCTGTGGAACATTAGAACTTTGGATTTGTGACATCCTACCGAGTCGAGTCTTTGTATCGAGTCGAGTTGAGTCGAGTTGATCCAAACCCGGTTGGGGTAGAATGGGATTATAAGTGGACTTTCTTGATTGAGAGAAAAAGATCAAAGTATAAGAGTTAGGATTTCCTTGCACTAAAAGATCAATTGAGGTATTAAGTTGTAGCTGTTGACAATTGGAGGTACCTGATAAGTTTCACCTAAAATATTGATATTTTGAATGGCCTTACCGTGATAACCATTTCACATTCAAAATTTCCCATTTCAATCTTTTCTTCATCTTCTTCATCTCCTCCTTTCCCTTTCCTTTCTCCATTCCATTTTCATGTAGTTAAGCATAAGTCAACCTCTATTTTCTCCAAGTAAGTAGAATTTCTTGAAGCTCTATGTTATTCAACCTCTAATTGAGTTATCATGTAGATAATTCATAAGCAATTCTTATGTATAGGATAAGTGAGTTCAAAAGAAGAAGAAAAAGGAAGCTAAAAAGAGGAGCTCAAGCTTTTTGGAGTGAAGGTGTGCTATCTCTTTTAGTTTAATTCATTTCCTTGCATGATAATTTGTGTGGTGTGTTGTTAATGAGAAGATATGTTGCTTAATGTTGAGTAAGAAGACTGGAAATGGTGAAAAATCATGAGATGAAATGAATAAATGAAGTAGATATTGAGTTCATGCTGAAACGGGTTTTGCTGGAAAAATAACCAGTAAATTCACCATGATTTTGACCCTAGTTAATGATGGAATTAGGAAGTGGCATAGAAGAGTTATTTGTTCCTCTATGTGCTAGCTTTCCATGGGTTTTTGAATCACCCAAATCAGAGTTGTAAATTGAGAGATATGACCAAAATAGTACAGACTGCGCAGGCTGGAAAACACGATGCGCCTGGCAAAAACACACGTGATGCCGCTCGCGAAATTTCATTGCGGCGCTCGCCGAATTGTGCCTGTAATTACTCTCTGACCTCTGACTCTCATTTGGTGCTTTTTGCGCTTGCGAATTTCATTGCGCGCTCACGAATTTGGCCTGTAAACTCTCTGACCCTCTTGTGTGCTTCTCACGCTAGCGACTTTTCATGGCGCGCTCGCGACTTGTGTTTTTATGCTCTTTTGGACTTCATTTTCTATGCAATTATATTCCTTTGCTCAACTTGTATGCCTCCAATCATTTTAAAACAAAAAGAAAACATAAGAACATGTATCAAAACAACATGCAAGCATGCAAATGATGTGAAACCAAGTAAACATTATGATTTATGAAGTTATGAAACCATTAATATGCTGTTGTGTTATTTAATACTATTGACATATCCAAAAATTATGCTCCATTCGAGGTTAGGTAAAACCATGTAGATAAGGCTATTCACGACTAGATAGCAAGATCTGCACCCTTACAGTTTGGTACTTTCCGGCTACAGGCCGTTGAGGGTGGATATATTATATCATCGGCCATAGCAAGCCAAGCTCATACAATGTTTCATCCAGTTTCATTACGTTTTTCTTATCACTTCGGTTTCGACTATAACCTTATGGAGCGATACCGGATATCTTTGATTTAAACAT